TTTGGTGGTCTTTTTGTTATCAGCTGACATAGTAGACACAACGTGCATACAAGGAGCTGTAGATATGTTAGGGATCCATATTTGCAATCATCCAGTTGTCCAGGCTGACTAAAAATCCCAAGGGCGACCAAAATGATACGAAAACTCATCCAGCGGACGAGTTTAGTTTGACTCTACCAGAAAAAAACATTTCTTAAAATTTTTCACAAGTCCCTTTCATTCTGACCACTTGTCTTCATTTGGAACTTTTAGAAACCAGAGAAAGAATTGCAGTTTTCTGTCATTTTCTGTCTTGGATGATGTGGTATTCTCCATGAATGAAATCATTGCAGGCTCAATTTTCATTTTGTCAACCGCTGATGCTCTGTACTGCATCTGCACCGGCAAAAACATGTGGCGTGATAACATCAGCTGTTTCGATCAGAATATTATTTAGCCATGATATCTACATGTACCTTGAGCCACTGAGATGTTGATAGAAGCATGCGCACATCAGGCTCCCAGTTACTTGTGTTTGGAGAATTTAGACGTTCACTTTTTGATGGGACTGCAGAGTCAAGGCTTCCATTACTTTGTTTCTTGGACACAGGAACAACTGTTCCTGCATTCCTTGCTGAGCCTTCAATGGGTCCTAAAAGTTCAGTATACGTGTATGTTAAAAAAGCACATGGAATATATAGACATTCAACATTATTGTATCCTAGCCATGTTAACAGCACTTGTAGGGAGAAGATAACAAATTTTCGGGCTTGCCAATTAATTTGATGTACTAGCCCGAAAATCATTCTCACTAGCCCCAAGAAAGTACACATCTCTTACAGCTGAATTTCCACAAAAATTTTCCCATGAAAATTCACTTGCCCATCAGGCAAGTGAGGGATAGAAATTGAATTGTCTCACTCAGCCTGACTGGAAAATTCACTGATAGCAATGGTCTCTAGAAGTCACCATAAGTCAATCTCCCCATTACTCAGTGAATAGAGCACCCAACCAATAACTGAAAGGTCATGGGGTATGATCCACCTAGGACTCAGATTGTTTTCTTTGTCTATGCTCACCAAATACCGAACATTTAATCTTTTGCATTTAGGATACCTTCAACATTACTGATGCTAGCAGTGTGCATCAGCATGCATCACACATGAACCTACTATGTGACCTAGCTTGCCATGTATCTCTCAGAGAAGGGTCACACACTTGAGATATACTGTAATTGGTGCATAGCTGATTCTCGTTGGGATGTTTCATTCCATCCAGTAATCTTGATTCAAGTTTGTAAAATGAAACAAACCACGTTTAGGCCCTTTTGCTTATATCTAGTATAGATTATTTAAACTTCCCTCAGATTTTTGGCTTCAGTATTCTTGCATAAAACAAAAAAAAACAAACGACCCAAATTCCAGACTTGTAATGACACAATTAAAACTTATTCAAAATTAATTAAAACTCGGTAGCGAGTTGCAGAATGGCATGCCTGCAATGACTAAATTTCTGCAAAGAGAATTAAGTAGATCATAAGCTGATACTAACAAACTTGATGCACTGCAATTTGCATAAGTCTCCATGTACGTTCAGTAGCTTCGACAATTTAAAATTCAATCAATGTGGGTTTGGAGAGCATGATCAAATGCAATTTCCAACCTAGGTGATTTAACTTGTTTTGCAGACAGGCCATTGTCATAATGTCAAGTACTCTTCTGATCAGACAGTACAACTTAATGGCTAGACTCTTGCAAAGTACACTGCAACGCTTGTAAACACAGCAATGAACAGAATCGAGTCATCTGGTAACACGCAAAATTTGTCCTCACCTGCCCCAGATCCACTGCCATGAGTGTGGCGAAAATTTTCGTACATCATAGTCACGGCCTCAGTCTCTGTTCATTTAAGTGTCATCATTCATTAAATCTACCGTATTTAAAACATTCTATAAAAAGATCTTGTGCCGGGTAGAAATCTGTATTCCCTCGTTGCTACACAAGCACCTTGTTTCCATCGTCTTCCACTTGTCTGCGGATGAACCAATCATGGAACCGAAGTTAAGTCACATGATCAAGCGTCAGCGGCTTTACTTGTGAAAAACAGATTCTTTGTGTATGCTGTGAACGTTTTGTAACTCCTTGTAGAGATCAAGTTTGTTGCTTAATTTTGGAGTTCGCTATATTTATACACACTTGTCCTAAACTTGCCACGAAAGTGTAACAGTCTTCGTTGCCGTATGAGTTACAGTGTAAGAAGTAGAGAGAAGGTTAGAGGACAAGTCAGAGTGGTATGTACATACAAGAGTGAACCTTTGTCGTGATCGTAGATGGCTGTCATAGTATTGTTTTGATCTACCGGTACAGGATCAAAAAGGTCGATCATTTATTACTCGATCGATTACAGCAGGTCTTTCCTTACCTCGTGCTCTGTCTCGCTGGACATTTCCAACAGCATGTTACTGAACAGTGTGAGCAGTGTATACCTTCCTATGCAATTTAAGGACACCAACATTTTACGCAAAACTTTATTGGCGTTCTTCCGTTCACCTCTCATATTAAAATAAAACCTTTAAGTTTATTTCAACATAGTTTATAGAAAGGTTCTCTAAAGAAGATCGACTTTTTATTGCAGATACACAACGTGAGCCCATTTGCCCCATTCATTCATTTTTTTCGGCATGGATTTCGATCGCGTTATTCCTCAAGACATCTCACCACAGCTCGACGACGATTCGGTGAAATACGAAGCTGGAAGCAAGCATGGAATAAAAGCACTCATGGTGATGGATGATCTGAGAAAACGCCAGCAGTTATGCGATGTCACGATCTGTGTGGGCAGCAAGAAACTCCATGTGCATCGCGTAGTTTTGGCCTCCTTCAGTTCGTACTTTCTCGCCATGTTTACGGGCGGTATGGCGGAAAGCCATGAAGAAAGCGTAACTTTGAAAGATGTCGACTGCAAAGCGGTTGAACTGCTCATTGATTTTGCCTACACCGGAAAGCTCGATATAACGATTGATACGGTACAGTCGCTGCTGTATGCTTCGTCGTTGTTCCAACTGACCGCAATTCAGAAAGAGTGCTCAAATTTTCTGCGTCGTCAACTTCATCCTTCGAACTGTCTTGGGATCCGCTCGATCGCGGACGCGCATTCCTGCACAGGCCTGTTCGAAGCCTCGGAGAAGTACATCCACGAACATTTTAACGATGTGGTACAGAATGAAGAGTTTCTTCTTCTGCCTCGAGATGACCTGGCCCTGTTACTGACCAGTGAAGAGCTCAATGTCGATTCTGAAGAGGACGTGTATAATGCGTTAATTGCGTGGGCGAGACAAAATGTCGAAGAGAGACAAACATTTTTGGCTGAACTTCTTGGGAAAATTCGCCTGCCTTCCTTGTCTCCTCATTTTTTGGTAGATCAAGTTGAAAAAGAAGAACTTATTCGTCAAGACATTGCGTGTAGGAATCTGTTGGACGAGGCAAAGAACTTCCACATGCTACCAGCTCGACGAAGTAAACTTGGTGGTCAAAAATCTCGACCAAGAAGGTCCACATTTGGAAGTCTATACAGCATTTGTGGCATGGATTCAACAGGTCATGCATTAAGATCTGTTGAGAGATACGACTTTCACAGTGGGAAAGTAAAGGATGTCTGTCCAATCAACACTCCACGCAGTGGCGTGGGTGTGGCTGTTCTTGATGGCAAGATTTATGCAGTGGGTGGACACGATGGATCAACATATCTAAATAGGTTAGAACAGAGCTATTTGTGTTTTTCAGCTCAGGAGAGCAGAAGTAACTCTCCTCTCTCTAAGTTTACTATGTACAGAGCTAAGTACTTCCAAGTACCCTACAGGTAGTACCTTCCAAGTTGAATTGGGGGTCGTGGGGAGGACAAGGGGGTAGGTGTGGGGTATTCTGCTGTTTTCTCAGCACTTTTACTGCAAACTAAATGACATAAATTGTGACCAAACTCTAAATTTAAGGTCTGTGACATGAGATGATTACATCGTGATCGTGGTATTGGAGTTATGAGATCTTGATCAGCTCTGTCAAGCATGAAACCATCAAACGACACTCCTGACATAGCTGATCAGGAACTCATTATCATTTCCCCAAGCTTCACATTTGCCATAAGAGAAATATGTTTGAAGTCTGTGAAAGCTTTGGTCGTTGTTGATGGAGTCACTGGATTGAATATTGTTGGGGGTATTAAGTTGTCGCATGTTGTTTCAAATCTACAGCGTGGAATGCTATGATACCAGTACAAAGCAGTGGAAGTATGTTGCGTCCATGAGTCATCCACGTCGTTATGTTGCTGCTGCTGTCCTGAATGGTTTGCTGTACGCCATCGGTGGCTATGATGGCTTTTCAGTCCTGGACTCAGTTGAGGTGTATGATCCCAGACTGGATCAATGGAAACGAGTGGCCAACATGTCCAATGCACGCAGGCATGTTGCGGTTGGTGTTTTGGATAAAAAGGATGCAGGGGATGATACTTCTGGCCCAGGTACTGATTTAATTAAAATCTCCAGTCAGACCATGTTGTAGTGTACGTTAGTTCGTGAGAATTTGAGACAGTTATCCAAACCCTCCACTGCATGTCAGGGTTGTATAACTTTCAAGAGTTCTCCCAACCTCCCATGTCTTTAGATGAGGCTATGTAAACCCAGCAAAAGTACTCTGTTGCATTTATAAAATATTTAACTCAAAATTACATGGGAATCTAAAATGTCACAATCGTGTTTACACACTCTCATCTAAACACACCTGTCATGAACCAATGAGAGCATGTGCAGTATCTCAGTTATTTTATATTTTAGGCTACCTGTATGCTGTGGGTGGTCATGACGGAATAACTTACTTAAAGACAGTGGAGAAGTACGACCCAGAGACAAATGCTTGGACTTCTGTTGCATCCATGGGGGCACGGAGAGGTGGTGTGGGCGTAGCTACCCTTGGAGGATGCTTGTATGCCACAGGAGGCTATGATGGAACATCTAACCTCAATACATCAGGTAACCCAGCACACTTGAGCGGTCATGGGTGGCTTTGATACAAAAAATTATATGTGATGTTCTTGATGTGTAACTACACATAGTGAGGAAATAAACTCAGCCGGTGTTCTGACAAGATAAGCCACAACTGCTACATGATTTGACAAATTAACAAAAAACTTGTCTACTCCTAACCCCCAACTGAAGGTGACACTCATATCTGTTGACTCCTTGCAGTTCCTTATTGAAGCCCCGTCTAACCTTAAACCCTTCCATTAATTGTACAACTTAGAGTCTCCTTGTAGAAGATGCAGATCACTGCACTGCTTATTTACATGTACCAACATGACTGTAATTAGTACAATAAAAGAATGCAGAGTTGTAAAAAAGAATGAGTAGAAATTAGATACAGTTGAGGTGTTGTGGATGGCACCATATACATGTATGTACAACACAATCTTATGCAGTGCAATACAGTGCAATATAGAAAGAAATGTGTTTCCCAGCTTTTTCTGTAGAGGCACACTGTGACCATTACGTCACATAACGTTTAGTCTCGAAACCGGTGGAAACCAGTCAGAAGACTACATGTTGTCAAAGCTAAGTTGTTTACTCCTTGCTCATGTTGGAGTGTTGTGTTCCGTGAACATGCACTGAACTACATACTGGCCTGTCTACATTTCCAAGGGGGGAGAGGGGCGACTTAGTTACACAGTACAATATTCTAACGGATTGTCTCGAATTGGTTAAAATATAGCAGCTATCTCGTTTTTGTTTGTTTGTTTTAGAACGCTATTACCCAGATGAAGACAGATGGGCTTTTGTTGCCCCAATGAGCGTGTGTCGCAGTGGACATGGTGTGGGAGTTGTGAATGGGTGTCTGTATGCACTGGGTGGGCATGACGGTGTGTCATACCGAAACAAGGTGGAATACTTTGACCCACAAGTTGGTGAATGGACAACTGTTGGCCCCATGGGAATGTGCAAAGCTGTGGCTGGTGTGGCTGTTATAAAGGAACATTAAATCTTAATCTTTATAGGTTTATGCACAACATTCCTTATGGAGTCAAAGCAGCTGAACTGTGGGAATGAACAGAGCTTGTTAATGTTTTGGTCAGTTCAGTGAGAGTGCCAAGGAAGGCACAGTGAATGACTAGCTGCTTCCCCAAAGAGGGTTAAGGCTATCATTCCATTTATTTATCTATATATACCACATGTTCACCAGATGGAACAAAGAATTTATTTGTGAAGTGGGCATTTCATTTAAGCTAACCTTACACGGTTGCCCATTCGGGGCCTCGATGCCTCCCCATCCAAAGAAAACAAAAATAAAGGGGGTTAGTCTATCATGCCTTGCATGTTATTAGCCTTTGTCAGATGGAAAGAGCAATAATATTTAATTATGAAGTGGTCAACCACACCAGTTAGGTACTTCAACCCCCGCCACCCTGTCAAAAGAAAAAATCTGCAGGGTTAACCTATCATGCCATGCATGTATTTATATGAAGGGCTTTTGTCATACGACTAAGACAATATTGTTTACGGATTGTAAAATCTTGTTTTGAAATTGTGTCCAATTGCCAACATACAGAATAAAAAAAAAACAACACAATGGGTGAGAAAAACATGGGTTCTCAAAGGCCAAAACTTGAAAGTATGAAGATAAACTGAATTTTCAACATGGGTAGGAGAGAGAGTGGCTCTTACCAAACACACACTGTGAGGTTGAGTATGGATCATTTCCGGATAACTACAAATATAATAACGGTGAAATAATTATTTGGGCATGTCAAAATATTTAATGGTGGAAATAAAACTAAAGAAGAATGCTTCAACTCGTTTGTTTTGTTTCGTTGTAACAATCATAATTCAGTAGAAGCCCTACAATAACACCAGCCTTGTCACTTAATAACACAAATCTGTGTTTTATAATACACTTGCCCCATGTCAACTTCTTCTTAGCGCTAACATGAGCGATGAAGTCACGAGAACTACCAAAACCGGAAAGCGGACTTTGAGAAGGTCTATTTAGAAGGTCTACTTTGTAACTTTATAGCTTGCTCTAAGTTGTCCAATTATGAAAATTAAACGAGGAAATAGAAGGGCTCTTGGCCTTTTACCATTTATTTTCGGGGGAGCCTGGAACAAGCTGAATTTCATTGGTTCAGACAGGGAAAAAGTTGCAAGTTCTTACTATTATTTTTTTTATTTTACATCAATTCCTAGCATGGAACTCCAGGATTCATTTCCTAATAAACAGAAAGGTTGACCACTATACAAAATACAACGCAAAGTTAATCTAAAAACTACTATCATTAAAAACTAAAAGTGAAATACTTTTCATTAATTGTTTTTTTGCCTGTTTGGCTTCTCTGTACCATAACTAAATACTTAGGAATCGATTTCTTACAAAAAGTGGCTCTACAACATTTTTTCAAACGTTAATCTGCCTCGGCTTGAAACTGTGAACTCACCGAGCTCAACTGTTTTTCTTTTCTTAATTGTGCCTTATAATAATTGATCTGACTATCTTTAACAGAACGAAGGGATTATATTTACAAAAGAGAAATTATAATTATTTCAACTGAGTTTCATAAAAATGATTTTCATTTAAAACAAAAAGTACTGCTTTCCCTGTCCATTTGGTTCCGCGCTTGAAAAATTAAAAGGATGCATTTACAAATCCACTGCAGGCTTTTGGTAAAACCTGATAAATTGCTGATAAGATATTTTACCACCAAGAAAGTTAGTTGGACGAGAGAATTGGCGCCTGCCAAAGGAACTTGTAGGTTTAGCGGAAACAAACTTGGCGCCAATCTCTTGTAAGAAAAAAATGAGAATTCAATATCATTGCCAAGAATTTCTGGACGGGGTTATGTTAAAACCTCTTCCAAATTGCTCGCTGGCCTTACGAGCATGCCGTCACTGTAGCCTGGTGCGTTTCACACGGCCGAAGACTGGGCCCACTGCTGTGATTGGTTGCTGTTGACTGACATGGCGTCTGGGGTAGTGGGTACTTCCACTGACGTACGAGCCATGATTTCTCGTTCCAGTTCCTCGCACTTGTGACGGAGCTGCAGAGATAGTCAAAGAGTGAAAGTTAATTGCATTGCGGTGCACAGTCCAAACTGAATCAATCTCTCTTTACCTGCTCGCAAAGGAGTTGTAAGTCACGACTTCTTTGTTCTTCTGACTCCTGAGAAAGAACAACGAACAACTTCGTCAATTCTCACGCTTGGTAAATGACACTCGGAGACAAGAAAACAAAAGAACATTAGCAGTCAACTGATCGATAAAAATTGTTTAAGCAATCTCTTACCTGGGGTTGCATGGTCGGATTCCAACGAATGTAATAACGAGTCCATAAGTCGAGTCTTCTCATACTAGCCACCGGAAACAGCACCTGACGATTACAAGGACAAAAACAGGCATCAAAAGTTGCAAAAGCTTTCAGATTTAATTAACCATATTGTCTTTCCTTAAGGTCATTCCCCAGTGTTGCATTGCGCATCCCTACTGTGCATAATTTCACGCGTGATTAGCGCACGCATTAAAAAATGGCGGCTTTTTCTTTACAGCTGGACCTCGCCATAGAGGAAAATCATCATTTTCTCGCAAACGAGTATGGTGACCTATCATTTTTTTCTGCTGTTTTGAATTGAGTAATAAATTTCTCTGTGTAAGAAAAATATGGACCAGTTCTCAGTGTAGAACAAAACGCAATNACAAACATGGGGACCCCTCATTTTTATTTCAAAATTTAAGTTCCTATAATATAAACAATCGATAGGCAAATTTACACAAAAATCTCAGTGCAGGTTCTATTTCAGCGGAATGACCTTAAGCACAGAAATCTGTACGCGGCAGAACTACAGAGAATATTAATTGTTATGAAAATATATTGATATAGGGATTTCATCAACATTTTAAACAGGAGGGCAACTGGTTTTCGCAGGAGGGCAAAACCTTTTGAACTGAACTTCTCTATTAGAAAACTTTCCACTGGATGGTCAAACCAGGTGGGCAAAATTGTCCTTACAGACGGTCAATTTGACCATTGCCCGGCCCTTAATGAAACCTCTGTTGGTAGTTTCCTTGTTTTAAGTTCATGAAATAAGACGAAGGAAAAGGAACAGATGACTAGACGACAAGAGAATGGCAAATTGTGGTAACCGACAAAGATAATATACTGGTGCACTTACATGTTGGTGAAGATGTGGAGCATACAGAGGGTTCTTGAATTCCAAGATCTGTTATGTTGAAACAAATCAGAAAGAGATTAATAAGCAGTACATGTACAAGTGAACAGTCGAAAATCTAACAATTTTGTTCACAAGCCAGTAAAGACCCAGTATCATGAAGCAGCTTGTAGAAGACCACTATTTTCTCAACTTGGCCCAACAACAAACCGGCTGTGCGAAAATAGTACCTTACACAACATGAAGAAATCCAAAGGAAAGTAGGCCACGTTTGAACTAATGTATCCACCAAAAATATCAATGAAAATTTACAAGTTATGGCCATAAAACATAAAACATGTCCACAGACCACTCAGGAAAATATTTAGGTGTAACAAGGCCAGGGTGACAAGTTGCAATAATTTATGACTTTGCGGGACAAAGATTTTCACAAGTATTCCCCATGCCACACGCAGCAAACGGTGGCTGCGAATTGGCCCCGCGACGTGTTGAAGCGACGTGTTTTGGAAGCAACACACACGGAGCAGCTTGTCGCAAAGACCTGTCACCTGGTGTGCGTCGACCTTAACCATTTCGCGGTGCCGGAGCAAAGAAGGAAAACAAAAGGAAAAAAAACTTACACGAGTGTTGATGTACGACCACAGAGAAACTGTCTTGGATTTTACATCCTATAGAGAAACAGACGTGAAGAGTATTACCAGAAAACTAACTTCATGCGATAACTTTATTAAGGTGACTCAAAACAGTTTCCGGCACTTAAATTTTGATGGGTCTTTATAATCACTCTTCAACACTTGACGCTACAATCATGGTACCAAAAAACTGCCCAATCATTGGTGAACACGTTGTTATCATTTTCTTGACGCAATAGGTTACCATAGCAACAGCATCACCCTTAATTACAGCTATAGGGATTTATAATTCAAAAGCGGTACGGTGAAATTTTTTTATATTATCCAATTTTGATAAGCATGATAAGACGCAACTTTTGGCAAAGTTTAAAAAAATTATGTACATAGGGTGCAGAGCCACCTTAAAGTTTGCATCAAGTGATAAAGAGTGGTTACAATGACCCATCAAAATCTAACTGCTGGAAACTGTTTTGAGCAACCTTAAGTGAGGATCACATTAGAATTAGTACACTGAACATGTACGTCGTAAAATTACTTCCTACCTCTTTCATTCTCTGTGACTCTGAATTGTACAAGAAAGTACCAAATAAACAGCTGAAAAGAAAAAAAAATAACATTTTACAAATTGAATCTGCGCAAATTCCTTTTCGACGAGCATGCCTCAAGTCCATCGATCAATACATATTTCCTGTCAAACACAAGACATTGCCGAGTCAAAGTTAACATTAAATTTTATTAACATGTCGATAAGCAGCAAATCTCCCTGTTAACTATGATTATTGATAATCTCTTCAAAACATGCACCTAACTGGGAAAAAGTCCGTCTTAAGCTAAACCTTTGACTTAACCTCGTTTGATTCAAAATCATTACATGTAATGGTGGAAATAAAGTAGAATTTCAGCAAAATACTCTTATCATACCTTGTAAGATGGTCCAGCACGGTTATCAAGAATTGTTCATTGAACTCAAAAGCGCAAGGGAACTGTTGGATTAAATGAGAGATCAGGTCAGGGCCCATATAATTATTTTCAACATTCAAGTGAACACAGTTCACAAGGGATGGAAATCACCAAATGAATAGGGTCAGATTGTTCAAAGCCCGCTTAAACTAACTTAGGATTAGCAGTGAATTTTGATTAAGTTTTGTACTTTTTTCGGTGAGGTTTTTTTTTTTTAACTTTTAACTGGATGATTTCCAGTCCGTACTGCGCACTCTCGAGGGTTTGTTTGCGTTCTTTGTTTTGTTTCATGTAAGACATCACGAAATGTAAACATTTCCCAACTACTTACAAGAAGTAAATTCAAAGTTTCAAAACAACCGCCATTGTGGATGCGAAGTGGTCGAAGTTTTTTGCTTCGTTCTTTCTCACATCACTTGATGAAACAACTTCGCAGCTGTAAAAATCAAGGAAGCTGCTGAAAAAAGAATTTGAAAGGCCTCAAAGATAAGATATGTGGTTTGTAAGGAATAACATCGATTCGCATTCCATCGAGTGAGATTTATAATGTTTATAAACATTAGGGTACTGAGACTGCGCAGTACGGACTGGAAATCATCTTTAATCCTGGGTTTGCGTTAACCGGTTTTCGAACAACCCGGCTCACAAGTACACAAACCTGCTTGGTAACCTGCCACACACAGTCTATGAACTGCAGGAACACAGGAGACCGCTGGTCATCAGCATGATTCTTGTCTCCATGACCGTAACGCTACACAAAGAAAGCACAGTTATCAATAGATAACAGACCCGGACGGGCAAATCAGCGCTGTTGACGCAAATCTTGGCTGGCTCCATGAGACTTAGCAACGGTGCTTAGAACCTTCTCTGACGAAAAGCGCAGAGGAGGAAAATTAGATCCTCTGTAGCAAATTTCTCACAGACGAAGTTTCAATTGAAACAGATACTTATTCCTCTCAACTGAATCCCAAGTAAGGCAAATGATTCGTACTCGATGTTCTCGGATTGTAAGGGCAAAGACTCACCACAGAGACGTACAAAGATCGGAAACACTAGTACTTTAATTACACCATCTTGCCTTTTTTTTTACTGAAAGCCATACATTTTGTTTTTGGGGCAAAAAGCAATGAGTTTCTCAAGTTTCCATAGGCTCGATTAGCAGCCTGTGCACCTTCCCTGAACACTCTTTAGTGCTTTGTTTACTTTACTTTACCTGTTGAAACTTGTGTCCAAAACTTGTCCATTCCTTTTCGATGAGAACCTGTGAAGAAAATCAGAACAGAAACAACAAATCTAAGGACTTGTCCCAAGAAAATAATGAGCAACGAAAATTTAAGTATACCTCAAATCCTTCAATTGTTCGGTAATAAGGATCCAGTAGAAGCATGGCAAGAGCGGTGAGCTGAGCAGGAAAAAAAAGAAAACACGGTCGTTAGAAACCAGAGAGGAACTTACATTGAAACGCATGACTTCTAGCAACTTTTTGCAATTATTGGTTTTTCAAACTTCTTCGCAAAAAGTTAATGGAAAATATGACGTCTTTTTGGACTTAGATATCTGAAAACAACAAAGAATGGTAGGGCAAGGGACGCGCTCGATTTCCGACGCTCTCTCGAGTCCGGTCTACATTCCTCCCCGAGAAGAGACGGCCCTTCGAGTGAGGAGCGCGGGCTCCTTTCCCGAACAGCGGCTGGTAATCGAGCCTAGGCAAGGGGGTTGGTCTGACCTGTGATGTCCTGTCCCAGCCGTCACTACAATGTACCACTACTGACATACGACATCTGTCCACAGCATCAGCTATTTTCACCGCACCGGCAAGAATGACCTGAAAATATTACCAATCAATCAATCCATCTATCTATCAGTCACACATTGAGTCAGTCAGTCAATCAATGAATCTGTCAGTCAGTCTACGTCTGTCTTCATCTGTCTGTGTGTCATTTAATCAATCGGCCAATCAGCTCAACAGTCAGCCTGTTTGTCTGTCTGTCAGTCTTTCGGTCTGTCGGCCTGTTGGTCGGTCTGTCAGTCAGTAAAACAGCTTGTTTGTCTGTTGGTCTGTCTGTCTGTTTGTCTGTCTGTCAGGCAGGCAGTCAGTCAGTTAGTTTAACCATTCATCACTTCTAACGTTACTATCATAGCAGTCTACCTTAATATGCTCCAACCAATGTGTTCCTTCCAGGTTTGTGAGCCAGTGAACATCGTCAATTGTTGGAAAACAGATGTCTTTCAGTTTACGCAAGCTAAACAAAATAATAAAAAAATAACATTTATTACATCTCTTGAGAATACAAGTCAGGAAACAACTTAAAATAATGTATTTTCATCTTTTCTGATAGTTATCTGAATCCATTGTTTTTGTCTGGCCATGCATGGCCCTGTTGTTTAAACAACGTTTTTAAAATCTTTTCCAAGATAAGCGTGAATTTTGCCTTCACGTAAACTTGTATTTTCCAATGAAGTTTTTTCTTCAAATTTTTAATCCTCCAGTTTTGACGTTGAATAATCCCGTCATCCACAGATCAGTTTCCCCAGTGGTGTAAGCAGCCCTTCAGAATTCATATGAAAGAAAGAAATCCATAAAGCAAAGTCAACGAAAATCTTTTTCGTGTTAACTGAAATAGCCTACGAGCGTCTACTTTCTCCGTTCCGGATTTCAGTACAACCTGCGTTGCGTTGCGTTGCGTTGCGTTTTTATGCCAAACATTTTCAGAATTTTTGGCATAACGGAGAGCACCTAGAGTGTCTTGTCCAGGAAAACTCAATCAACTTACCATTAAGCTAGCTGCCACAGGGAACTGTTAACGAAAACAACGCACCTTTCTCTCATGACATGAATATTTGCAATGTCCAAGAAAACAAGTTCAGTGTTCTGATAATTTTCCTGCACCTCATAACCTCCTCCTTTTGCCTGAAAAGGTAAAAAAATGTCAAAACATTTTCAAGTCGTTCTTATTTATTATCCTACTTCTTAGATGTGATGATGTATCACTATCATAGCAAAATACCCTTACAACTCAAATTATATTTACATGTATGGGTATTACAAATACAAATGTTTTGTAATACCCGAGACCTGTATATTGCACAGCATAAAGTTCAACTTCAAACTACGGAATAGATCTATATGTATCTTATCAAGGGTAAAGCAGAAGTAAAATAAAATCATTCAGCTAAGCATGCGAGAAGGCTCTCTTGTTTAAATTTTGCATGTGCAGCCTGCACATCGTAGCGGCTACGATTTAGATGGCAAGAGCACCTGGGGAGAGATAATCACGACTGCTAGCGAAGAAACCCAAATAGGCCAGCCTGCTCGTTGGCTATTTTCAACTGTACAAACCTGATTTGCTAGAGCATTGATCTTAGGTCTTGCATCCATTATTATTAGCTTGTGGCCTCTCGCATTGGCATCCAGAATCGCCTAAATACAGGGGAAAACACAGAACCGATCTGAATTAAGAAGAAGGATGCATTTTTTTCCTGACATTTTGAGTGGTTTTCTTACAGTTATGCAAAAACATAGAGTCACTTCTTGTCAATCAACAAACACAATGAAAGCAAAAACGTGTAACGAGTACCGAATTCAGAGAAATATACAAAGGCATAGCCACAAAATGTTATCCGCACACACTGGACATAGCTATGAAAACAATGAGTTGGCTCAATAACATGCCCAGCCAGATTTTCTGGCCCTCACTCCTCCAAAGTTACCCCAAGGCTTTGTTTAGTGTGAAATTTTAGCCAGATTTAAGTTCTCCTTCAGCCAGTGAAATTCGCTGGAAAGCCAGTCCTAAGTGACATTGCATATTGCAGTGCGCTTATAATGTGTGCATATGCACATGAACACTCTACAACTTCCCGATCAAAAATTAGACTAGTTTAATTTTTCTTGAGAGGGGAATTCTGACAAAAAAAAATTCATATTTGAACTGTTTTCCAAACTAGAGAGATCCTTTACCTGAAAGTATTTTTCATCATCTTTATTCCTGGTCTTCCCAACCAGTCCAGCATTAGGTTGGCTGGCTCGAGTAATGGAAGCAGAGTTCTTTGGGTGCAACCAAGAAAGCACCTAACAGACAAATCAAAGAACAGTCTACCAACTCTCCAAATACGATGATTACTATTTACAGTGCAACCCCACCTTAAGGCCACCCCTTTATCACCGCCACTTTAAACTGGCCCAAAAAAAGGTCAGTCACTTATTTGCTTTATTTAAAATCCCCCCTTAATACGGTCACCCCGTTAATACAGCTAGATTTTTGTGGCCCATTGGTGACCAGATTAACGGTTTTCCACTGTATTTATTACAAGCAATCCCAGGATTAGGGATATTAGCTTCTGAATTTACTGTAAGTTGTGCTCACACCATTGGGTAAATGAAATATAGTTTAAGGTCTACAACTGACATTTTTCTAGTCAGAGTTAATTTGGTGCCAAAACACTTCAGTCTAGAATATCTTTAAAAGCATTTTAAAGTTTGAAAACTGTTTGCTAGGTTCGGTTGGGTTCCATGGCATAAAAAGCCAAGATATAATTTAAAATTTCTCTCTTCCAAAGTGAAATCAGTGTAGGCGACTGGGCATACCAAAAGACCATTATGTTAATTTTCAGCCCTGTATACAGTACATGTAAAACAAATGACTCACTGGAATTCTTTCTCTGCTTCTAAAGGTGGCTACTTTCTTCAAATCCTCATCAGTAACACTGACTGGCACTGCTAACTGAAATCAAATGAAACATAACACACCCATGATTTGACACATCTTTGCACAACTGACAGACCTGTATGTAATAAGAACTACTAATTTTATAACCTAGCATCACATTAAATGAAGTTACAAATTTCACATGTTGTTCACAAAAGGATGATGCTGTTGAATGAATCCATTTAAGAGTTAATTCAGTCACTAACTTTGTTCAGGAGGGCAAAATACATTTGGTATCTTTGAGTTTCAGTTGTATAGGTATTATATTCACAAATTCTGGTCATAACAAAAATTACAGTCATCCACTGCAATAATAAATTATTTGCTTATTATGAAATAGAAGTGATTATGATTACTACACCTCCGTGCCAAGGGACTGTTTTCTGAGTCAAGTTAATTTTTCACTGAGTTCTCAGCAAAGGAATAGAGCTTGCATGACACAACATACTCAGTAAGTAATGGAGATTACTTCAAATCGTGAATGAATCATTTTGTTGCCACTACCAATGATCTTGTATGAGTTCTGTCTACAAAATATCTCCTCTATGAAACAAGTACCAGTAATAAATTTAATATATTAGGAAGTTCATGAACTTTTTTTTCTTTTATAAATATATATATTTTTATTTGGTTTTTGCCATTAAAAAGACATAATTACAACTCAGTACAAAAATAAAATAACAATACAGTGCAGAAACGAAAAAAAATTCTACAAAAACTACATTGCACTTCAAAACCAACCCCCCCCCCCCCCCCCAAAAAAAAAGGAAAAGAAAACACCCCATAATTTTGCAGACTGCCTGGTCATAACAAATGAAACACCCCTTACTGTGGAATGAATTGCAACAATATCA